CACACACACACACACACACACACACACACACACGTCTGCAAGCCCCGCCCTGAAGCACCGCACTCCCTAAGTACAAAGGGCCGCACGGATGTGGTTACCCAGCCCACAAAGACGTTCCGGTCCGAAGCAGACCTGCACACACGTGGACACACACTCGCAGGGTCGCAGATGGGGCTGGGGCGCTCTGCCACCCACAGCTGTGGATCGCATTATACCCCCCTACTGTCTTCGAGTAATTCCACCTCCCAGAAACCCCACAGGACAGCAGAGAGCAGACTACTCCTCAGTGTTTCTGAGACGGCAAACCTTTATGGGAGCCACAGGCTTCATCTTTTTCTGGTCCAGCCTTTGGTGGGCTTGCGCCACCCACCGTCTTGGGGAGCAGTCCAAGGTGAACCCACCGCACCACCAGGCCCTTCCCCTACTGGCCCGGAAGCACATTTTGCGCATTCACGCTGTGGGGGTGGTTTTCGTTCGGACATGGGAAGACCCCCCACACACACACACACGTGTGCAGAGTGTAAGGGCGCCATCGGGTTTTCAGCAAACAGACCACCAGGCCTGTGGTCTGAGACGCCACTGGGTGGGTCCGGAGGATCAGCCTTTTGGATTCAGTCGAGTGTGTAACCATTTGCGCTACCCAGAGACACCTCAGGCACACGATACCAAGAACCAGCCGTGCAAATTGCAGGCCAGCTCACGTGAAACAGCTGCCATGTGTACACAAGGGTCCGTGGCCACAGCAACGCAGTGCACATGTGTGTACGCTCACACACCTCACAACAGCACATCCACACACGCCTTAACCGTGACATCTGGTACCTTTTGCTTTCAGATACCCCTAGCAATCTGGAATCCCAGTTATGCTCACACCTGCGGGTGACTCAGCTTGTCACAGTGTCCCACCTGGACCCCACCTCCCAGAGGAACCTATCCTCCCTGCCAAGCCCCTGCCTGCCTCCCCCTGTGGCACCAGCCCAGACACCAGCTGGTTTTGTTTTAAAAGCTCTTCCTGCTTATTTTGCTCAGAGTAGCAACTTCCCCAAGAAACCTTCAAATAGGCAGCTGGGTGGGGGTGGTGAGGGGGTGAGGGGGCGGGGGGCACCGGAGGATCCAGGGAGAGTGCTCATCAAGATCCCGATTGGGGATGGGGGTGGGGGATTTTTCCAGGCCTTAAAATAGCTCTTACAACCACCACCCCACCGATAGGAGCATTCCGGATGGGGGACAACATCGCCAGCAATCAGCTTCCAGGTTGCTTCTGACTGGAGGTGGGGGAGGGTGCTAGGTGGTGAGGGGACAGAGGTTGTCAGTGTTCCAAGATGGGTCTACCCTAGGGAGGCAGGGAAATGGAAGTTTAGGGGTTCAGGAATTGGGAGGGGATAGAGCTCTGATGAAGGAGATGAAGGATGGAGGATTTCGATTAGGAGGTTGTGGAGATATTGGGACCCAGGAATCTGGCTCCAGGAGACCATACCTTGGAAGCTAGATGACCCAGCTTCAGACCCAAGGTGATATGAAGGACAGTCTTCCTAGGCTGGGGTCTGAATGACCAGGAGGCATTCCAGGGGTCTCAGGAGAGATGTGTGGCTGTGGGGCTTCTGAGTCATTGGCTCTGGTCTGAAGTCGGTCTGGCTGCCCTGCAACCCCTCTGATGGAAGGTGCCTCGGAATCCTCTAACGGGACCTTCTGGTTCAGCCTATTCATTCTAGCAGCGAGGCACCCAGAGCCAGGAGAGGAGAGGGTGCTTTCCTGGAGCAGGGAGTCAGGGCAGCCTTCAGAGCCGTCCCTGCCATTTACCGTGGGGGACTTTGGACATGTTACTTCATCTCGCTGACTCTGCTCCTTGTCATAGAATGAGCACAAGGATATGCGCCTTGAGCATTATCCTGGGGATTCTGCGAGATGGAGATGCAAAAGCACCGGGCTTTGCCTGGCACTTCGTAGTAAGCACTCAGTGAACTGTTGATGCCATTAGTATCACTGCCCGGGACTACACGGTGTGGAGCCCCAAATGAAGTGAATTCTCTGGCCTCCACTTCTGTCTTCTCCTTAGGTTTTACTTCCAGGCCGTGAGGTTGCTGGGTCCCAGTTTTATGTACCTGTAACCAGGCTCAGCCGGAGCCTGTCCCTGTCCACAGGGTCACTCTTGGCACTCAGAGCCCCACCCTGGGTGGAAGAGCTTGGCCCCGGAGGGTTGTGTGGAACAGACACCATGGACATTGGCTCCGGAAGCTCTGTTCTGGGAAAAGATCCTAGAAGGATGTCCTCTGCTGCCCCCAACTGTGATGGCTCAGTTCCCTGCAGACTGGATCCTTGGGAAGTGAAGGGGGAACACCCCTCTTGGACCCAGCCGGGCTTCCAGGCTCTTAAGTGGCTGCCCTTCCCAGGTGCCTCTGTTCCCAGTTTATCAGCATCCTGCCATTGACTGGAGCCCCACCTGCTCCCTCCTCTATGCTGGCTCAGGCTCTGTTACCTCTGACCTGCGCTGTTATAGCAGCCTTCTCTCCAGGGCTCTGCCTTTCCCTTTTCCAGTTGATTCCCCATGTTGTCCTAGAGTGACCTTCCCAAACTTCACTAGGAAATGCAGAAGGACTATAAATCCTGGTGGGACTTTAGCAAAGCCATTCTTACCGGATCTCAGTTTCTTCTAAAAAATGAAGCTGAAGACACCGTCTCCCTGCCTTCTCCTAGATGGAACAGGCTCTATGTTTGTGGAGAGAAGTGAGGAGAGTGGTCAGAGATTTTGGGGTCCCGGGACATGGGTGAGTTCTGGCCCTCAGCCAAGTTGGTTCCATGTGAGACCCATCTGGTCTTAGTGCTACCGACGTGAGAGTCCCTTTTCAGTACCATGGATAGCAGCGTGCCCCTCTTGGGCGCTGGTGGGAAAGGGGAGAGGGTTCAGGAGCTGCAAGGATCCCACGAGATGCACGGGAGTGCAGTGGAAGCTGTGGCTGTATCTCCCTTGTGATGTGTTGGGATGGCTCCTGGCATCTTTGCAGATCCCAGAATTCTGGAAGCATTGCAAGCCATGTGGCCTAGTTCTTTAGGAAGGCAACAGAAAGGTTGGCAGGGGCTCAGGTCCGGTCAGGTGCGCAGCCAGCGGAGAATATTTCTCTGAGGCTGCAAGACCTTTCCTGCCACCCAGAGCATCTGGAGCTTGATCTCTGCCAGACCACCACTCAAATAACAGGAGGTGGTTGGAGGGGAGTGAGGAGTGGCACAGGATGGGGGTGCAGGCAGGCAGCCTGCAGTCTTTGGCTCTAGTCTCAGCTGCTGTGGAGACTGACCTCAAGTGAGTAGCCTCTAACTTTTCAGAATCCCTTGGCTCCCTGACCCAAGGGCCGTATTGTCTTGGACACATCTGATCAAAGAAGGTACATTTTCTCACAGGTGGACCAAAGCTTTCCCCAGCTCTGGAAGAGGAAGACTGGGTGGCAGGAATGTGAGGCTGTGGCTTATGGGGAGGCTTAGAGGTATGAGGGGGAGGAAGAATGACCCGCAGCCCCACAGAGCCGTCTGGCTTCTGACTCGGGTAAAGTGGATGTGGCAATTAGGAGCCGGGCATGAGGGAGTCTCCCCCAGTCCCATGCCCACCATTATTCTCCAGCCCTCTCTCTCTCTGTTTGTGGGTTTGTATCTCTCTGTATGCCTATGGCTGATGCCTCAATTCTGAGGGCTGTGGTCTGAAGGTAGTGTGTGTGACTTGACTTTATATGCTGGAATGCCATGTTTGCGCATGACTAGCTCCTAGTGGGACCATGTGTGACTGTGTAACCATACAGGTGACATCGCGTGTAAGGTTATTCATCGGTGTGATTGATGGCACTTGTGAGAGAGAAAGATTGATTGAATGATAGATGGATTGATTCCTGGATATGCTATTTCAAATTCCCAGAAGCCGGGATGATTTCAGAGACAATAGCCTCCTCACTCCCCCTACCACCCATTCCAAGCCCCCTACCCCCACTGAGTTCTATCCACTGGTGATGCCAGCCCTCTCAAGCCTCCCATCCCAGTGGGGTCCCTGAAAAAGAAGTAGGGCAACAAAGCAGAAGGAATAAAGTCTTTCTTCCCCCAGGCTGGGGTCTTGAACATCCCCTCCCCAGCCCACCACTGCATGTGGATGGGAAAGAGTGTTGCCAGGGTAACCAGCTCCTCTCTCCCCACTGTTTTCAGTGGGGGCAGTGCTGGGTTTCTTGCCCCCAATCTCCCCCCATATCCCTGTAGGCAGCTCTGCTCTTACTTTGTCTGGGCCTCTAAGCAGTGACAGCAAACGGCTTCTTTGGTACAGTCTACATCCGGGCACCCCCCCCTCCCCATCCAGCTCCTCAGGCAGGCTGCTTCAGCAGGGGAAGTCCCAAACTCTCAACCCTTCTTCCCTCCACCCCCAGGAGGAGAGGGTGCCTAGAGGGACCACACTGCAATGCTGAGGAGGTTGCCATGGAAACCCAGGCAGGATGGTGCACCAATAGGAGAGGGGAAGTGCCCCATGTTCCCTGCAAGGCTGAGGAGTGGGTGGCAGGGCCAGAGGGAGGTGCAGACACTGGGTGGCCTGTCTCTCAGAGCCTGTCAGTCCAAGTCCTCCTCATGTCCCTCTGTCTTGCTTTCCTAACGCCACTCCACACCTCCCTCCGTGTTCGGACCCACCCAGAGAGAACGTGTAAGCTTGAAAGCTGTCAGGCTTCACACTGGGCCTCAGGATGCCGGTCTGTGAAGGGTCAGAGAGGGGGGGAGGGGAGTACCTCGAAGAGGGACAATAAACATGGGATCCTGGAGAAGCGAAGCTGTCCAGAAGAGAGAGGGATGGGACAAAGGCTGGCAGGAGAGTGGACAGGCGGGTGTCAGGAACATGGCCTGGATGAGGGGAGGCTCTGGAGCCCCAGGGCTGGGCTCTGCCTGGGGCTCCTCTTTCTGGGTTGCTTTGTCTCTGTCACTGCCCTGTGCCGATCCAGGTGGCTCAGGCTGCCACTCAGCTCTAGAGGCGGTCATCAATGCCCCTGCCTCCAATCTGAGCCGATGCCCATCCAAACGCCCCCACCCACACCCACCCCGCAAGCCTCATCTGCAAGCTGACCTTGTTCCCTCTCTGGGGCCTAGAAGGGACCACCAAGAAGCTGCGCAGCAACATCCGGCGAAGCACGGAGACTGGCATCGCGGTGGAGATGCGGAGCCGGGTCACGCGTCAGGGCAGCCGGGAGTCCACGGATGGGAGCATCAACAGCAACAGCTCGGATGGCACGTGCGTGCAGCCCCCGCCGCTGCGCCCACCTCCCAGTCCCCTCAGCCTTCTAGGGACCACCAAGCTCCCAGTTGGTTTTCCAGCCGCGATGGCCAGGATTCTTTGTGGCTCCTTTCCCGACATCTGCCTGGCCAGCCGTGGGGCCTTCCTGGCGATCCAGGCACCTCTTCCCACCGAATGCTCAAGTGGCCCAGGAGCAGAGTCCCCTCTGTGCATCTCAGGAAGGGACCCCCAGGGCCTGCCACTTACACACTACTCTGCTGGAGGGGAGGGTTCAGCATGCAGGTGGGACCTTTTGAAATGTACCACTATGGTAATGGCTTAGGAGATTGGAGGCTTCGCTGGGGGCTTGCTTGCAGCTTAGGGAAGGAAGCTGAAATGGATCAGTGTTTCCAAACTGGGGGTGGTGTCTAATAGGTGAGAAGTCAAATCAGTCCATCGGTAAACAACCAGCATCAGGAAAAGAGATCAGAAACGTGTATATCGTATGTTGTGAATACCAATGAGCATTACCATGTGGAATTTGGTTTGCCTTCTATGTAGAAACAAACCCATATTTTACCTCTTAGGCCATGACATTAAATGTCTCTTAGACTTAAGTGTGGGCTGCAATCAGAAACACTGAAAACGCACAGTGTTAGTTAGCTCTTCCCTTCCAAGTCGACCAAATGGTGGCAGTGGGATCACGCTCTCTCCTGGCCCACTGGTTCACAGTCTTAAAGTTCCGTGCCCCCGTTGTTTTAATGTTTGACCACATCTCAGTCCCAGGTCTCTAGGGCTTCCACGGAAGCGAGTTGCCGCTAGCACCCCCTGCCTCTTAGCACAGGTAGGGCATGCGCTAGCCCTTTCAGATCAGGTTCTCCATTGCCATCATCCTAGGAGGGGCCCAGGATGACTGAAGTACAGAAAGTGAGAGCCGCTGTCAGAAACTCTCATGGTGATGGAGCAGGGGCCAGGCCTTGCTACTGGGCTTTACAAAAACCTTTGTCTTTGCTAAATTGAGACTCAAATTGGACCTTCGGACAGTCTTTTTTTTTTTTTCTCCCCCATTTCTGTGTTGTTTTTAATCATTTTATTGGGGGCTCATACAACTCTTATCACAATCCATACATACATCAATTGTATAAAGCACATTTGTGCATTCGTTACCCTCTTCATTCTCAAAAAATTTGCTCTCCACGTAAGCCCCTGGCATCAGCTCCTCATTTTTCCCCACTCCCTCCCCACTACCCCCTGTCAGTCTATTTGAGAAGTAAGCATTATGTGTGACCCCCTCATGGAACACAGCATCTGGAGGGATGTAGGCACCACTGCTGCCTTTTGTTTTACAAGTGGAGAAACCAAGGCCCAGAGGAGGGAGTCTCACCTTGCTCGAAGCCATGGCCTTTAAGTGGTAGAGGAGTTGGGATTTAAATGAAGGCTGTGAGTTTTGTCCACAGTCTCTCTCGGCATCAGGCGCCTAAAATTCTGTGGCCTTGCGAGTCTGCCGTTCTTGCTTTGCCCGAGTGGGCTGAGCCTAGTGGGGCAGGGACACCTGGCTCTTTGACAACCTGGCCTCCCCACCTGGCACCAGCCATCAGCCACCAGCAGCTCCCCACCAAACTCTCCAACAGCCTCTGTCTGAGCCAGCCTCCTCCCTCAAGCCAGGCGCTGGCCGGTTTCCATCATAGACAGGCTTGGTCCATTTTAGTCCCTGGGTGGACCTGGGCAGCCTTCCCTCGCTGTCCATGCTCTGCTAGCTCCGCCCAGGTCATTTAGGACATGAACAAACTACCAAGGGCAGCAGCAACCACTCCTCTGATGGTTGCCCGTGTGCCTGAAACTTGGCGGCCCTGTCTCCACTGCCCCCAGCCTTGTCCCCCACCTGTGCTACGGATGTGGCAGGTCTCTCACCTCTCTGAAGCTCTCGGCCTTCTCATCTGCAGCATTGGGTAAGGGCTCTTCCCAGGATTAAGTGATAGAATGCATGTAGTACATTCAGCTCCATGTTGGCACCTGGTCAGCAGGCAATCCCTGTCAGCCCTTGTTACTATTTTTAGGCTTCCTCTTATCTGCCCCCTCCCTCAGCCCCCCCCCCCTGCAAGCCATCAACTGCCCACGCTTGTTGGCCAGTCATTTCGACCCTGTAATTGTGTTATTTTGGTCTCAGTTGCTGTTTTGGGTACCGCCTCACAGTATTGCCTTACATTTCTGACTGAAACTCAGTACTTGGCACTTGCTCCGGACCTGGCGGCTTCTGGGAGTCGACTTCAGCATCTCTCCATAGGGCGCAGGTGCCCAGCAGGCCCCACCTTTTAAGGACCGCATCAGAAGTCCCTGGTGCCTTAGGATCAAACGCTGTCATGAGCACAGAAAACACAGAAATAACCCCCAAGCAAACCTAGTGCGTCGAGTCTGTGCCAGGTCAGGGGAATGCTCTAGCGCAGTGTGCTCAACCTTCCTCATGCCGAGACCCTTGCATACAGTTCCTCATGTGGTGGTGACACCCCCCCCCCCCAAACCATTAAATTGTTTTCATTGCTACTTCATCACTGTAATTATGCTACTGTTATGAATGGGGTGACTCCTGTGAAAGGGTCATGTGACCTCCAAAGGGGTCTCGACCCCCAGGTTGGGAACCGCTGCTCTATAGGCTTTCCAGGGTGTAAATCTTTACAGGAGCAGACAGCAGTTTATCTCTCTCCAGCAGGGTAGCTGGTGGGTTTGAACCACCAACCTTCCAATTAGCAGCCCAGTGCTTAACCAACAGTGCCCCTAGGACTCCTTTATTGGGTTTAAAAAATTATTATTAGTTGCATTTCAAGTATCTTCAAAGTTTTATTTTGTTTTGTTTTTCCCCCTAAATGTGCAGAAATGAGTAGTTCTGGTATCTCCAGCCAGGGTGTGGAGGAGGAACTGAGGCACGGGGTTGGGGGTGGGGATGCCCAGGCACAGAGTCACTGCATCCTGCCCTCTCTGCACCCCCACCCCTCATTGCCCAGACACCCTCACACGCCCCTTGCCTCCTCTTCTAGGTTCATCTTCCCCACCACACGGCTTGGCGCCGAGAGCCAGTTCAGTGATTTCCTGGATGGACTGGGGCCAGCCCAGATTGTGGGGCGACAGACGCTGGCCACGCCACCCATGGGTGAGTCTTCCTGAGTCGGGGAGTGGGGTGAGGGGTGGTGTGCAGCAGGAGGGAGAGGTCAGAGCGGGGCCCTCACTCGGTGCCAGCCTTTCTCATCTGCTGCCCTGAAGGGCTCACAGCCACACATTCACCCCCTCTCCCACCACCTGCTATGTGCCCGCCCGGCAGCGCCAATGGCTGGTTATAAAACGGGGAACAAAGGCAGCCCCAGCATGGCTTCCATCATATTCTGCCACTGCTTTGAGCCTCTGTTGCCTTATCTGTAGAATGGGCACGGCGATGCCCTCCTTCACTCTGACAACTAACCTACAGGGCGGCCGGCAGAACCGGCTCACAGGTTTGGTTTGGATGCTTTCCCTGAAGTACTTCAATGACTCCCAAAGGACAATGTCTCAGAGGACTTGCTAACCCTCACCCAGTGGCTAGCCCCCAGAAGCCTCTTCGTCATTCTCCCACCTCTCTTCCCTGGTGGCATGGTGGCTAAGCAGTCGGTGCTAACTGAAAAGCCAGGGGTTCAAACTGACCAGCCACTCTGAGGCAGAAAGATGCTTCGATGAGGATTTCCCACCTTGGAACCTCCGTGGGGCCGTTCTCCTCCATCTCGTACCGTCGCTGTGAGTCGGAATGGACTCAGGGCCGTGGGCTTCCTCCATGCAGCTCGAAGGGCTTCCCGAAGTCTGCACTTGATCTTGGCTTCATTCTGGTTCTGTTTGTGAGCTCTCAGGTGGATCTGCGCAGCAGAAGAGGCAGCCCAGGTGCAAACAGAGCCCTGATGTGAGTCACAGTGGAACGGAATTTATTCCAAGCCAGGCCAGGCGCACAGGGGCCTTCAGAGGATCAGGGGCAGCCCCCATCTAGCTCAAAGTTAGGGTTCACTGGAGCCCCTGCTTCCAGATTTGTAAGGAGTGAGGGGTGTGGGGAGGGGGTAGGGCTGGCGGGCTTGCTTTAGCCAGCGCTGGGGTGAGGAGCAAGAAGAGCCCTTTACTTCCACCCTGCTAATGTGCCAGCGCAGCCTAGAACCTTTGGGTGTGGTGCCCTCTGGTGTCCACAGCTGGGGAAGAAGAGGTTTGCCTTTGTTACACTGGCTTGGGAAGTTAGTTAACAGCAACACCTGGAAGAGATTCAATCCGAGACCCTCCCCTGTCTCCCAAGGGGAAGTCAGGAATAGCTGGAGGGAGAGGAGTGAATTTCAGAGTATCTTCTGGAAGTAGAAAAATCCCCATCTTCACAAGAATGCAAATACAAACAATTGCATGATGGCCCGTTTTAATGTTCCTGCATGAGGTATATGATTCTGGACCCCTTTGAAGAACGCTCCTAGGGCTTCCTGCATAATTCAAAAATTCTGCTCACTTGTGTTGAACAAAGCGAGGAGTTCCCCCTAATGAAGCATTCATAGGACTCTTCCCAGCTGGATATTCTGTCTGGGAGCGTGCACTGCAGAGCGCTTGTCGCCCAGGAAGTTTAATAGGCTTCCTTCCCTCCTCTGTCCAGGGACCCCAGGGAGGAGCAGACCCTTTCTCCAAGGAAGTACTTTTGGGCCTGAGAAAGTACATCTCTTAGCACCTCTTCAAACCGGTATTCTTTAAATTGGCCAACATATGAGCGGGCTTCAAAAAGTTTGGAAACCACCCTGAGACTGGAACTAGATAATGCCCGGCTACCACTACCAACAGCTCTGAAAAGGATCCTATTAGAAGATCCTGGGAAGAGTGGGTGAAAAATGTGGGTCAAAACTCAACATCGTCCAAGAAACCAGGATTGCTGGTCAGATGGAGGCCGTTTGGACCTCAGAGACTGTGTTCATTACTGTCAGGTGTGGAACGGAACTCAAGTCTTTGTAAGAATAAACCCACCAGGCCTTGAGGACGATGTTCCCAATTAGAGCAGCCAGTCCACAGAGAGGACCACATGGCCGGCCCCACTATGAGACACAATGTCCCTCACTGACCCATAGCCTTAAAAGGGACAACACCGGAGACAGAGTGTAGGAATTGCATATGACCTGATCCCACCAACCCAAGACAAAACACTAAAGGGGTGCAACAGAACAGCAAGGGAACAGAGCGGCAAGGTCCCCAGGGAATACTGAAGGTGGACTTTGGGGCCAGGGCATGGTGCCCCAACAGACTGGACTGGAAAACACTCCTAAAGGCCAACAAGCAGTCCTTCAACTAACAACAAGCTTTTCTTTCTTGTGGTTTGTTTTGGCTTTTTGTGTCATTGGTTTGTTGTTGTTGTTTTGTTGTATATTGTTGCTTGGTTTTGCTCTGTCTTGTTTTTGTGCATATTATTAGCTCCGCACGTCTGTCTAAATAAGATAGGCTGGATGAACAATCTGGAGGAGAAAACAACAGTTC